TTGTCAGTTCTGTGGAGAGTTGTCACACTAAAATGGTATTAAAGGAATGAGTCCGCAACACACTGGGGTTTCACGATTGTTGACTTACCGTTGCAACGCATTCATATGACTTCAATTCGGTAGCATGTATCTCCCCTTTGTAATTTGTGAGGTATCATGACTGTCACATCCTGATAATTGACATGAATGTAAATGTCACAGAAGAAGAGATTCAGGTATTGCACACAGAAGTAGAGATTCGGGTATTGCACACAGAAGTGGAGATTTGAGGTGTTGCACACAGAAGTGGAGATTCATCTAGATCTATTGGACACAGAAGCAGACAACCTGATACAACGTTAAAGACAAACCTGGCAGACATCAGACAGCCTAAGAACAGACAGACCAAGGGTAACTACGCCCAAGGAATACCTGTACTGGCGTACTTTGCATCTCCGGAACCGCTTCCTCACAGTGTGATTATTAGCGACGAATGCCTTAGGGCATATGGTTATCCGACTGACAGCGAGTGGCCACGCCACTGTTAGCTCAAGGAAATATGACTTACAGACCTTACAGAGGACAGTTATTGACAGCGCAACATCGTCGTCAGATACAGAGATGGGCCCTGACTGTATGTCGTTGGCAGGGACGTGACTGGCCGAGGGTCGTCTTCACTGATGAAAGCCGGTTCTGTCTGTTCAGAGCTGATGGAAGACAACGCGCTTTCCGCCAAAGGAGAGAACGAAGGGCGGCATGTTGAATTCAGGAGGTCGTACCGTATGGGGGAGGAGATGTAATAGTGTGGGGAGGAATGTGTGCTACCCCACCTCAATTCGGGCAACTGTCATGTCAATATCGGATGCTGTATGGATATCATTTATATGTTGATTTCGTTGCGATTTTGATCTTTTCAATACATTTTACTTCATGCATCCATCTTTTGTGGTATCTAAACTGGAGTGACTTAAAACTATGGTAAAATTTGTTTTTGCCAACAATTTTATAATAAAACACATACAAAAGAACACCGTGAAAAATCCTGCAGTACTTTAAACATAATAAATAAACAATTCAAAAGCCGCCTCGGCGTGGAGCAAACTAAAGGCAAAACATGGTACAAAGTAAAATCAACACACATTAATAAAATAGACAACAACACAGGTAACAAATTAAAAGCAGAAAGATAAGATCAACACTATCAAAACATAAGCAGTAACAATCAATCATATATTCTAAAAAGGAATCAACATTTAAACAGAAACACAACCATAAACACACATATATACAGTCACACGCAAAGGTACTGATCTAATATACATATGGATTTTGCAAGGTTCTTGATTTCTTTTTCATTTCTGGTACTCAATTTTTTGTTATCTATTATATTCGGAGACTGCGTGTATTTATTCGAGAAAAGTTTAGTGGAATTCATCGGCTATAGCTGGCGACATACACAGTTTACATGTCCTAAATTCTCTATCAATACCAAACCATAGGCCAACTTCGACAGGCAGATTATGGTTACAGGTTCTCTGTTTCAGAATAGGTTAATAAATTTGTTCAGTTTTCAAATGACGGGATATCTTTTCCATATTTATAATAATACCCTTTTGAACTTCTCTCGACGTCAGATCTCCAATTTTGTTAAAACTGATCTTTTAACGTTGTTTCTATGTGGGCAGATAGCAACTGGCTTGCAACGCTTTGTGGGTAATGAAATACACAGGACAGACCACAGTAATTATGTATTTGCCTCACGTTTCTTATCCAGGCATTTTGTTCGTTATAAGATAAAAATTGCAAATGAGTAAATTTGTAGATAAGTTGCGATAGTTTGGTACCCGTTTAGCTGCATAAATCGGTAAATGTATTAATGTCACTTAAAATGTTTTAAAAAATCAGTGATATCGGGTGTTTCCTAATTTTGGTTTCTATTACTCTTATTGAGGATTTTCCAGAATTCTTTAGGTGAATATTTAGCTTTTTCTCTTATCACTGTACTGAAATCAGTTTTGTGCTTAGACATATGTTTATTAAGGCACTTCGTATACTCTTTTGAACACTGTCGATAATAAAGTTTGTTAATGTTTGAATTATGTTTTGGAATTTTACCGGGCCGTGGCGAAATGGACGCCTTTCTCCAAACGTTGCGCGTTCTGCATCAATGAGCAGACGCGCGATCTCCTCAGCAAATTCATTAATAGTTGTTTTTTGATTTGTCAGCACCTTCCCCGTGCTCGTGGGTTTCAATGATGTGGAAAATGTCTCAGACCTGCGTCACATAGGGCTTTCCACCCATATTGAGCTGACTCGCCGTGATATAACTGGAACATAGTGTTAAAAGAGGCGGTAACCCAACTCACGCACTAAATCTATCATACCATCTTTGTTATATTGTTAACAGTACTATTCAATGTATTGCGATGTTAATGAAGTATTTATCTGTTATAGATTTCTAAGTTTTACATGTTTGGATTCACGAGAAAACCAAATAAATGGCATCCCTTACACATGCTTATTGATAAAAAGTCCCCCGTATGTAAATCACCTGTTTATTAGTTCATACTTGGCCTCGAATTGGTATATTCAGACCACAGTCCTCCTTCTATTCTTAACAGATCTTCTGTTTTGTTGTTGCAGAAGTGAAGACATAGAGATTACTACATGAGTGTCTGTCAGATACCATTGTTCTTACGAGTTGTTTCAAAACGTATCTAACGAGCGAAAGCGAGTTATATACGCTTTGTAACAAAGAGTTGCAAGATTAAAGGTATCTGACAGGCACGAGTGCAGTAATCTGTTTCTTACACACCTTAAATTCGCACCTTTTTAGCGTCGAACCGATGAATTTTGTCTATTCTCATGATTGCAGTAGCGCATTAATACATAACACCACTGTCATAAGTGACGTCATCCAATGTGCTGCTTACTACACATAAATAATGTGGCCCTACACAAAAAGGTTTCCGTCATACCTGTGGGTTATCAAGGCGATGATAAAAATGCAAACTTGACAAAAACCAAGAACACGCTGTGTGCCAAGTTGAAAGTTTACACTTCAAAGAAATTACCAAATATGTACAACAATGTTTACTTCCGTATGACATCACTACCGGTGACCGACTTTTACAAAATGGCGTGTTCACTGACAACAGTACGCGGGATTTACAGAGGAGGTTTTCGTTGATAAATGTGTCACGTAAGTAATCAGAAACATTCTGACAATCTGCGTACTGTTATTTGTTAACCATGTTTTCCAATGTAACAAAGAGAATTAGTCAGAAATGCAGATAACTACCGTCATCGTTGTGCATGATTTAACGTCAGTCATGGCGTCACACAGGACGGAAACTTTTACGGCTTCTGTTGAATTTACCACATCATTGTAATGTATATATGTGTAATTCCATAATTAGTGCAACGATACTCTTCCCATGAATATTCTCAAACGCGTGATCGAGCCAATGTATGCAACAATTAGACGAAAGTACCTCTAAAAATGCTACACAGTGTAAAATCTGAATTTTGCTTTGTTTACATTTCAGCAAGTACAGTTTTCCGAGCATAGTTTTCGTTTCCATACCTAATTTATTTCGCATTATTTCATCCAGATAATTTGCATTGGTGACAAAGACCATTTATCCATTTTTTCGAAAATGTATGTGGAATTCAGGGATGCATGTATAGCAGCTGAGTTTGAAATATATCTGATCGAATAGGCGTCTCATAACGGGCATTTTGTAAACACAATCCAATATGGCGGAACGTACACTTAAGCGTTCGTGTATGCGTATTTTCCAATACATTCTAAACGATTCTAGGCTTATCAGCGACGTTTCAGAATTATCATTAGTGATTTGATACCCGTGATTGCTAATATGCTATTTTTCTACTTTAATTATTCGAGTAAATATCCGATATTTAGATATCTAAACACACAGTAAATATTTATATAACGCCATGAATTGTGATTTGGCGAGATTTACAATGTACCTAACTTTCAGTCACTTTCAGTAATTTTGAATTGCCTAAAATGACAGTAAATGATAAACAGAATGGGAATTCAAAACTGTGAAGTGTCTGCGTGATGTAATTTGAATTTTATTGGCATCCCTGGCATCATTTGAAACACCCTGGCATCCAGAGAGTTTACACTCTGAAAAAAAGATAATGTTGACATAACAACAGATAATGTAACTGATAATAATTACAAACAAACTCGCAGACGAGGAAGAGTTTGTTTATTTTTATTATTAATTACACGATCATGTTGTTCAATACAGACGTAGGTGAACATTCGACTGAAGCACGAGCAACTTATGAATGACTTACACTCAGGAAAGTAGTCCGTCATCATCTGACCCCAGGTCATCACCATGGAGTAGCCAATCACGGGCGCCTGGAATTCGATCTCACACATCACACTCCGTCGCAGTGGTGACTCAGCATAACACCACTGCAACAGGCTAATTTGCATATCACGTGACCGGACTTTTCTCTTGTTTGTAAACAAACGCGCTTTTTTCAGAAATCAGTATAGAACGGACTAATGCAAGTATTGGGGGGCGCTTTACATATTGTTTTGCATAACTATATAGATATGCTACTACAACTGCGACAGTGAGTTGCATGACAATATATATTTATGCATCAAAGTGACCGTGTCGCTAGCTCTCCGTTGCGCTTCGATGACAGCACGTGGAGCCGTACAACCAATGTAAACATAGGATAACTACGCAAAAACAAGTAGATTTTTACGTATTTGCATACTTTCTCAATGAAAGTTAACCATTCTATGACATTTGCTTATGAAAATGTGTAGACTTGTCAAACATGAAACGGATGAAAAGCATATGCAATATCTTGAATGGACTGTGAAAGATGTGACGAATCGTCACATGGCGCTGGCCTGTGGCAGAGGTACTATGCTAGCTGGCTGCCGGCCGCATGGAACTCTGGGTAGGAGAGTGCTCACACATATGTTTGATACCAGTTATCTCAAATGGATTTCTCATCCACAGGTGTGTAAGAAAAAGCATGGCGACTCGAAACGTATTTGTGTTGCTGTACTTGTGCGGAATCATCGGATGCTGGGCAGGTAACCTCCATTTACATGTACTAATATATGCGTTATTAAAATCTGTACATACCATGTTGTTAATCAGATAATGGTTAGGAAATATATTTATTGGAGATAACAATATGGCTGTCACGGTGAAAATAACAGTGGTGCATTATACACTCATCGAACGATCTTTTCATCAGTATTGTTAAGGAGAAACTGCTGACAGGTTATGGGGTAAATTGTATATCGTGGACACATAAGGATAACAATGATTCGATATAGAGGCCTTGTTCCAGACCCCTGCTTAAATCCTATGGAAGTTCCAAGTCTTGAGAAGCGAGACGGCGACTACGTCCTTGCAACAGGAGAGAGAGCCGTAAACGACAGGCTGCTCACAGAGGGGTGGTATGACGCCGGAGGAAAGGTATTCCTAGACTCACCACCAGGGTTCCAGCACTGCGGTACTCGTTACCCTATATGGAGACTAGGTAAGTATTTTAAATGCATAATAGCATAAGGTCGAGGCGCATGCGCACGTTAGTAGCCCCGTGGTCATGCTTCTTTCATGCTCTTTATTTTCCAAGTAGCATTTAGCAAACCCATGACGAGCTTGAAGATACTATGTAATTTACATACACAGAGTCCAGTTTGGAGTAGAATCCTCTCCCGTTGTTATAAATTACAGTTTTCATGTACTATAAGTTAAAATCGCATATTCTTGTGTTTTAGGCAAATTTGGTTAGTTTCCAAAAATTCAGATCGCGAGCAAGCGAGATCACGAGAATGTCCCTTACAGTATTCCATAATCAATACATTTCCAGAATTTTTTTCTTACAGTCAACATTCGGTCAATATTCCATTAGCTCCAGCCTTTGTCGCATACATTTCACAACTTTTGAGGTACACACGAGGAAGGTCCTTCTTTCGATGATTTCGAAAAGCGTCATACGACTCTTGATCATGGTTACAACATTCAGGTCCTTAGAAAATCTTTCAAAACGTTTTGTGGCAGACATGTGAAGGAATTTCCAAATCTGAGGCATCAGTGACCAAACTGATGTCTGATTCATTCCCTATTTCGACAAAGTATGTTTGGGTTGTGAACAGTTGACTTGCCTTTTCATGTGTTTGTCATGGGTGCCATGGGTGGGTCATGATAAGCTTACCTTTACGCGAACACTTATTATGATCACTATTAAATATTGATTCATAAACGCATGCTTATGATACAATCGGAATCGTTCTTGATTGTGAGCGGTGGTGTAGCTTAGTTGTAAAAGCGTTCGATGAAGACCCGGGTTCGATTCCCCTACATGGGTACGATGTGTGAAGCCCATTTCTGGTGTCCCTGCAGTGATTGCTGGAACACATTAATAAAAGCGGCGTAAAACCATACTCAACCACTCTGATGATTGTGGAAAGGGTTTTGTTGCTTTTGTTCACATAAAGTGGGCGTATGAAAGCAAGTTATAAGATGGGTAAAATTTCTAAACTGCTTGTCCTATCAGATTTTGCCTGGATATGTTGCTGAGTGCAGCGATAAACAACAAACAATTTGTAGGATCCGAAACGACGTTTAAATTTCGTCCTTCTTCGTGATCTTAAAGACACATTCAACACTGTTCAGATCATTTTACCAAAGACATAACATCAGTACATCTTCAATCTCCTCGCATGATGACTATTCTTGATAAAGAATTGTAATTCGAGATTTGTGAGGAAAACACATTTTTCAGTGTTTTTGTATAGACGTGTGAACCCACATATTTTTATATTTCAGAAAGAAAAAAGGGCAACTCTGTAATGTGCATTCAAAGCTACAGAAACACCTGTATCAAGAAGGTGAACATAGAAACCAGGATGTGCGGCACGAAGGAGATATTTAATTTGAAGAAAACTTTTTCCTCAAGTGCATATTGTTTTGGTAAGATTCTTCTCTCTATGAATACAAAAAAGGTTTATCAAAATTTGAAGCAATACCGATATACAGTTGCACATTGTTGTCATATTTTATAATACCTATGTGGGAATTGTCTGCCACAAATTATACATTGTTGCAATATGCGTTTTATGAATGTATATAGGAATAGAAATAGAAATATATATCAAATCTTCTGCTATTCCACTAAAATCCACCCTTTCCTAACTGTAAGATCAATTCAATTCAGCCTATACCTGGTGTATTTAGTTACTATTTATTATGCATTTGCGCTCGTACAGTAACAATAACGTTGAAGCCATATATATATATATTTTTATATAGTAGTAAGTACAGTAGTAAGATGACTTCTATGGATGAACAACTTCTTTATTACAATTAGTGCGACGTTTCGGTGTAGATCCTAACACCTTTATCAAGCAAGTGATGGATAGTGCTTTACTTACTTTGGAGATTTAACGTGCGCTTTCCGACTGATGCGTATTTCTCACACGGGCCCGGCCAGGCCATTTAATGTGTTTCCGAAAGGGACGAAAGTGGTGTGTGCAACCCAAGAGGGGGGTTTTAGGGGTTGCTTATATAGAATTGGGGAATTTTGAGATTTGGAATAGATGCCGATGGATAGTGCTTACTTACTTACTTATATTGGAGATTTTACGTGCGCTTTCCGACTTCAGCGTATTTCGCACACGGGCCCGGCCAAGCCATTTAATGTGTTTCCGAAAAGGGGAAAAAGTTGTTTGGCAATCCAGTAGGGGTGTTTTAGTGGTTGCTTATATAGAATTTTGGAAATTTTGAAATTTTGAAAAAATGCCAAGAGGGTTTGGGGGACGAACTAAGGGACCTGAATATGGAAGTTTGTTAGTTTGATTATGTGGTCTGGTTTTGGTAGTTTATTGGGATTTTAAATGCGATTTATTAGTCCTGTTTTGATTAAGTATACGCCTAAGGCTTTGAATTTTTCTATTTTATTTTGTGGGTTTAGGATTGCTTCTAGAGTAAGAGCCTTATTTAGATTTAGGGTGGTTTGTAGTGTAGTTCGGTGTGTTAGGTAGTGGGTGCAGTGTATGAGTGCGTGTTCTGGGGTTTCTTGTTGTTTGCAATGTGGGCAGGTTCCTGTTGCGTGTTTTCTTATCATTTTGAGGTGGTTATTTAGGTTGGTATGTCCTGTTTGGAGTTTAGTAATTACTCTGTCGATTTTTTTGGACGGATGTAGAATTTTTGGTTTGGTTAGGGTTTTTTTTAGAACCTTTTTGATTTGGCTATTTGAGTTTTGATATAGGTTATGCCATTTTTTGGTGATTTTTTGTTTGTTAACACTTTTAATTTCTGATTTGGAGATGGGTAGGTTTAAGCTTATTTCTGGGATTTTAAGGGATAGTTTAGCTGCTTTATCGGCGTTTTCATTGCCGTATATTCCTACGTGGGCGGGGATCCAAATGAATACTATTTGTTTGCCTGCCTTAGTTAAATCGTTTGAGCTTTTTAGTATCTGATTTATTAGATCGGGGCGGTTTTTGGTGTTTTTATTTTGGAGGGCTTGTAGTCCACTGAGCGAGTCGGTAAGTATTAGGATTTTTTGTTGTTTTTGAGATCGTTGATTATGAAGGGCTGAGGCCATGCCCATTAGTTCGGCCGTGAATATTGATTGATTGTTTGGGAGTCGGTAGGATTGTGTGGCTTTAGTTGGTTGTGTGATGTGGACTCCGAAACCTGTGTGTTTGGAGATCGGATCTGAGGATCCGTCTGTGTAAATGTGACACCAATTTGGCCAATTTTCATGTATGTATGCTAGTGTGGTGGTTTTGGCTATGTTTGAGTCGGTTTGTTTATTTATTGTGCTAGCTAGTTTTATGTCTATTTTGGGTGTTTTAAGTTTTGGGGTGAAGATATTTGTTTTTTTACAGTTTTGTTTAAGATTGTTTATTTGGTGTTCATTTAAGTAATTGGTTATTCTTTGGGATATTGGAGTAAGTAGAGGGTGTTTTCGAGCTAGGGCTTGGTTTTTTGGGCTTATATTTTTGTTTATTAGGCTTTGAATTAGGGGGTTGGATTGAGACGCGGCCCAGAAATTTAGGGTTAATTGTTCCCTACGTAGACTTAGTGGCATTTCTCCTGTTAAGGCCTGGAGTGAAGTGTAGGAGGTGCCATGTTGAGTGCTAAACAACATAGGTTTATATACTTATTGACATCAAAGTTTATACAGTAAATGATTGATGGACACAGAGGGCTGATTAAGATAATTGGAAGCCAGTGGATGACTAATGAACACAGAGTAAACAAGCAGACTGATAGAGATGATGGTAGCCAGTGGATTAGTTGGATGGACATAGGGATTTACCAATTAGGTGATGGTGAGCAGGCGGGATGTAATAGCATCATTGCTATGGCTGGATCCTTTTGATGTAGATGGCTTCTAGAAGTTTCCTGATTTTGTAGTCTGATTGATTATATATATATATATATATATATATATATATATATATATATATATATATATATAAAGAGAGAGAGAGACAGAGAGAGGACAATCTGTAAAATATTGTTTATATGTTTTACCTTGCTTGCAGGTTCAACAGACATCCGTAAGTAATTACGTTTCAAATTCATAGGTATCAAAAAACTTTTTGATTCTGTAATGGGTTACGAGAAGCTTATGAGAGACTATAAACAATAAAAATACCTTACAATACAATACAATACAATAACCGTACAACTAAATAATATACTCTGATTGATACAGCTCCAACATTTGCTGTGAAACCTACTGTTATTACCCAACTCCACAATGATATGTATACAAGCAAGCTACAGTTCCGTTGTGAGTTCACCAAACACGATGCTGACGTGTTCTACACTACCAACTGGGTCGTTAACGGCGAACTTGTCCTCACTGAAGATGCTATGAAGTGGGACAATGGTGATGTTATAGCCAATCATACTCTGACAGAGGCTAAACTGATCAGCGTTCACATAACACAAGTTGGATTCGAGGTACATATCTGAGAGTCATAATGAAGTTATTACAAACTGACGTTATTTGTGAGTGTCATCAAGTTGTAAAGGCACCAATGGTTAATATGCTGAACTGTAATAAAATTGGTATAACGCCACATCATGATCAGCCTGTTTGGGAAATTGATAGCTGTGTCATTAATTCAACTGTTAATTATCTGCTTTTAAGTTTAACTACAAATGCAAATCCCATGTATTTGTTTAGAATTAGTTTTCCATTTTTTAAATTATGAACTTATCAAACCCTCTCTTGCCTTCTTGCATCAGCTGCGGTGTTCAGTCAGAGCTAGCTTCGGAAAAGGCACCGCTGCCAGTGTTCCTGTCATGTCAGATCCAAAGTTTATTGGGATAAAGGTAAATATTTCCTTTGGAACTGTGCTCCTACTTTCATATAGTGGTCTTAATGTGAGAATAATGAAATATTTTGCCCATGATTGCCTCTGAGCCATACTGTAGTTTGATGCTTTATGAACGACAATAGGTCGATATGTACGACATTTGTTCTCGACATTAAGGTCTTCCATTAATTAATCAATTATTGGTTACATCTTTCTTTCTTCTATTCTGACAATATATTTCCTTGGTCAACCTCTAGTGTCCAATTTCAATTCTGTGAAGTGCTTAACGAGATTTTGACAACGTTCAGTTCTTGGCTTTGTTCTGTATATTCGCTGAAACGTGCGTTCAAACTTCAGCTCGTTTCCAACATGAAAGTTTATTGACACTGTGAGTTGTTGTTTACTGTTACCTGCAGATATCTGATAAAACACTTGAGCTGTCAGAAGGGGATTTCGCTGACATATCCCTCCAGCTGACGGCACCATTTGGATGTGGGACTACAGCTGGTACATGTGAACTAAACATAGAATCTGTTCACCTTGGTACGTAAATGCATAATCTATCTTGATTGGCTGTGAAAATGAAACGACAGGTGGATGTGAACTAAACATGGCATCGAACTAAACATGGCATCGGTTCACCTTGGTATGCAATCGTGCTGATGTGTCTTGTTAACTGTACATGTTACAGTAATTATTAAAATTCAGGTTTCTTTGATCATATATTAAGATTGTCTCAAAACATGATTATACATGAAATTATGTGTGCTATATATTTATTGTACTTATAAAAATGTGATATAAAAATATGACAGAGTAAAAAGTTACTGAGGGTGCACTCTAAAAAAACGGACGTTACACAATTCAACAACCATTCGTTGATTCACTGTGGGATGCTTCTGATCAAGTGTCAATATCCATTTGAGTCCTGACCTAACGTTGGGCCGGTTCCTCTAGCGTGGCTGGGGGTTGTTTCCGGCAATGTGGACGTCTTCCGATGATGCCGCACACATGCTCCGTAGGAAGGGGTGTCCTGCTGCTACAAGTACGCAGTACGCAGAGACATTCCGACCATGGTAGAACCTGCGTTGTCATGTTGGAAAACAAAATGTCGACCAGCGTTGCTTGCAAACTGTACCACATAGGTGACAGAGTGTTCTCGCGGTAACATCATTCAATGAAACCCGTTGGGATTCTGGGAAAGAATATAGATCCCCAGCAACCTATCCTTGTAGTAGGAGGCGACTAAATGGATCGGGTAGGCAGGCTCGGTGACATGGCTGACAATTGCATAGATCGATGCTCATTGTATCAATCACTGAATTATCTGGTCCAGAGTCTCATATATATTAACTCCACTGTGTTATAACTGGAACATTGCGTAGTTAAACAACAAACAAACACACTGAGGATTGGAAAATGCGCTCCGAATGTCATGTTGATCCCATTTCTATATCATCCCCGAACTACCTTCATGACTGTCATGATGGTCGGAGCAATGTTCATTGGAAACGTTATGTGGCCCAGTCGTCTAAGGCGCCGCGATTCGCTGTGCAGATTTTCGTCCCTTGGGCACGCCAGAAACCTATGATTGTGGGTTCGAGTCCCGGTTCGCCCCGATTATATTTCTAGGTTTGTCAGAACCATACCCGTGCTCGTGGGTTTCACCGAAGTGGTAAACGTCTGAGGCCTGCATCACTACGTGCTTTCCTCCCCCATTAACGTGGCACGCCGTGATATAACTGTTATATATACTGTTAAAAGCGGCGTTAAACCCAACTCACTCACTCAATCACTCACTCACTCATTGGAAACGTTATATGGTAGTGGTAGTGGTGTTTGTGTGCGTTTAGTTATCGGCAAGTTATATTAGTATTCATATTTCAGAGACCACCGCAAGTTGTGGAGAGGCTAACTTGAAAAGTTCATCTTGTGGAACAGTTATTTTGGCTTCGGAGTGGAATAAAGCTGCCACGGTCAGGGTATTTGGTCAAGTTTCCCAGAGCCTTGGATCATCAAGTAACACCTTGAAACTGAAGCTGGCAACCCCTGACGTGCTATTTGACAACATGTTTTGGGCAAATTATACGATCGGCGTCATAACGGTAAAAACGTGAATAGTTACATAGAGTAGTGATATAATGATATGGTTATACGCTAATGTGTTGTAAATGATCACATCTCTCATATACTCCATGACCTCCACTGCCTTCCTGAGCGTACAATCATCTCTTCAAAGTCTAGAGGTTGGAGTGGCTAGGCTCCGAATAACTTGTGTGGCAGTACACCGCAGGTAGAGATGAATAACAACATCTACTGTGCATTCCAAAAGCCAAAACTGTCAATTAATGTCATAAATCTTTTTCTCGTTTTCCGTGGCCACTGAATTTACCGGTTTTCCCCTTTAACTGAGCAAATTGGAAACTTTGTCTGTGTTCAGAACTTGCCCTAAGACTCTTCAAACTAGCTTTCCCTTCCTAGCTAGTGTGGGTTGTGTGCTTTGATCTTGCATTGTAATTCGCGTTATAAGTGGACTATAAGTAGTTGTAGAGTTATCATTATAAGTATGTAAGCAGCTCTTATCTATGAACATTTGCACAGTTGAAGAACTAAAAAGCAACAAAGAAATACAAACATGAAAAAAACCAAGTGTCAAATCATGTTTTCCTGATATATTATAACACTGGAACTCCACGTAAATATATTCTGAATAAATATACATTCTATACATTAGGGTTGACTAAACTACACGTATGTTCAGGTTCAGCTGAAAAAGAACACCACGCTGATTGCGCGGAAGTCGTGTCATGCTGTCAATGATCCACACATGCTGACATTTGATGGAAGGTAAATCTTTCTGATGGTTCATATATAGCTATTTGTATTTCGTTGTATAATGTCAATGGTTTCAGTCATGAACAAACACAAATCGAGTGTGAAAAATCTTTGATTAGCATATTCACACTTAACCATGGAATCCAGGGATATATATATCGCGTAAGAGCTTGTCACTCATAATAAAAGTAATTTTGCTGTAAGAATTTATTATATCCCATATTTACAAAATGATATCTGTATGAATTGGAATTGGCTGTACGATTCTGGCAGGATGCATCTCTGTTTGAATGTGTGAATCGTGCGCGTGACTGGGGCATTACAGTAATTATTAAGTCATATCACAGTCTATAAATGTCTCTACTTTGGTGAAAAACCAAAGATCATACTCATTGCCCCATGGAACTATCGACCAATCACCACCAATATTAAGGACTCTTCAGTCACAGATCGATGCATGTACTGATGATACACAGATTAATATGTGACATTACGCTCAATGTTTTCAAGCTGACTGACTCCCGTTTACTCTTACCATTCAGGCGATACGAACATCAATATGAAGGTGTCTTCACTATGTATAAGCACACAATCTTTCCCATTGAGGTATGTTTTAGTAAATATTTGTAGTTCTAAAACTTTAGTTTTGAATCACTGTTTCCTGAAGAGAAAATGTGCTTGCATGTGATTGTGACGGGTGCCATCGGTGGTGGAGGATAGGTTCATCTTTTCGCGAACACCTGATCATGGTATTACCACTATAGTATTCCACAGTGATTCATAAACACATGCTTACGATATAGTCAGAATAAAACAATGGACTTCGCTTCTAGCAGAGATATCTTGTGATTATGGAAAGAGTCATGATGCTTATATTGCATACTATTTTTAGAGACATGTTATCATGCTTTAAAAATCCTATAATGGTAGGATGTCTATCCACGATACCGAATGTGACACTTCATAAGGAATGATGTATTCATTAGTCTATTGACGCTATCATTACAGGTTCAAATACAGACAGCGGACTGCGGAAGGGGTGTGCACAACGCGTGGTGTAACTGTGGAGTTGCTATACGAGCTGGGAGGACGGTGTTTGAGTTCAACAGGTGCGAGGGACAGTCCAGTATCTGGACAATAGAATACACACTGTGTGAAGACAGCGGAGATGTACTACAGGTCAAGAAGAAGGGCAACAATTATGAGGTAATTCATGATATTTTTTGTTGTTCTACTCTCTCCCTTGTTTCACTTGATGATATGTCCAGTATGATATTTTTGCTTAATATAAGAAATGAGAAATGACAAGTAAATAAAATACCAAAATCACAACAGTATATATTTTTACCGGAAGACTTTATAAAACTCTAGAAGACCAGATATTGTATTTGTAGGTGTAACGCCTGATGTTTTCGGGATCATTAACTGAAACATATATTTGGTAACCAAACTTGACGTATCCTGATAATGTGAATCAGAGGCGATGGGAATAAATGAAAAATAATAATAATAAAAAAAACACATTTACAAAATCAGGCCTTTGAAAGGCATTTAGAAGTGATGAACAAAAGGAAGAGAATTATTGGATTGTCAACTTCATTATTATGAGGAGCACAACGTTTAAGAGTATATACATGTACTTACTCCTTCATCAGGCGAATGAATGCTATGAGGCAGAGAACATATATATGAACCTGAAAGAACAAGAAACGTAATAAGATAACAAAGGTGGAAACTTAACAAGGGAAGCCAACAGATAATTGGCGCTGAAAGGTGATTGGCAATGGACAAATGGAAGTCAACACTTAAGAGTTAATTAACGCTAGTAGGTGATAGCGATGGACAACTGGAAGCCAGGACTTAAATTATCAGTGATTGTTAATAGGCAATGGACAATGTGCTAACGGGAGGCCGGGGGTAATTAGCACTGTTAGGCAAGCTTTGCCCATTGCCCATATCCATTAGAAATCTCTGCTAAAAGCAGAGTCGATTGTACGATAAATGATACCATAATAATACCAATTATTAAAACAAAGATATGTTTTGACGACAAACATCCTATGCAAGAACGTTCATGTCTGTAAAACACGACAACACACATCCGATAGTTTTCACGTGCAGCTCGCAGTACTAGTAGCGTCACAAACATGCGTACATGTACGGTGTCATTCCTGATTCGGACACATTCACGGAAGGTCGATTAATCTCTGTGGACCATTGTTTTTGTCAGACTTATGGTAACTGCTTATCATAAATTTGTGATTTACTTGATTTCATTGATTGTGCGGCATAAACCAGCGATCCGGCGTCTGTAACGCGCAGAGCGTCTGTGAACTATTTGCATGCTGGAAACTGGCAGAAGTCAGCGTGCAGTGGTCAGTACGTTCAACCTTTCACAGTCTGTGATAAGCAGACTATGGAACAGGTACCAACAAACCGAAATTGTTGACGTTCGACCCTATTCGCTGTGTCCAAGGTCAACAAAAAGTACAGGATCGATTGATCCGAAACCAGGTTCTACGAAATCGAGCTGAAATTGCTGAAAACTTTCATCAGGCTTCACACTTCCTTCATAGTTGTGGTCGTGTCTGAATGAAATGAACGTTACGCCAATGTCAACCTGAGCCTTCGTGACAGATTGGCGTTGGATCGGTTATGGTGTGGGGTGTCATGCCAAAGGAAAGGTCACTGGACAGTACTATCGGGATAGAGATAACATGCCACAGTTTAACATGAATACCCTACTCAGACTCAGAGAGAGAAACTGCTTATGAATCATTTATCAAATGTGTACACGCTTCCATAGGTGTATCTGCCCACTGGAGGAAGAGTGACAGTTAATGTCTACGGCATCTACCTGAACGTTTACATCTACCCATCAATCCAAGACGTAAATAACACCCGTGGTCTCTGTGGGACACTAACAGCAAACTGCAGGGACGACTTTTTCCTGAGGGACGGCACCTACTCTACAGACGTCACAGCGACGGGTGACTGCGGAACTACATCCAACGTCTGGCAGAATCTTCTCACTACATTCTCGAACTCATGGAAGTGAGAATTTTATTTGATTTCGCCTGTGATTGTTGTTTTAAGCCACAGTCAGCAATATTCCAGGTGTCTCGCGGCGGCTGTAATTAATTGAATTTAGGGCAAGGAATCCTGAGGTTATAAATCTGAGCATCAAGCAACACCGTCAAGTCACACATTGTAGACACTCGATCCTCATTAATCGGTTCATATCGGATTAATCTTCCACGTAATCCTCACGAAACCGATCCAAGTAACGTTGTACTCATACATGAATACACATTTAATCTTTTGTAATGTGGCAATATGACTGTAGAATAAATATTTCTCCGGACGAACTCTGACACTCGGGATAAGATTTATTGCAACGTTTCGTGTGTTACAGGGTTTCGTGTGGAAGCAACCTGTTTGATCCGGCCGATCATGCATCGCTGTCAGCGTGGCCACAGACATACCTTTATTGTTCCTGTTCCCCGCATCCTCAATCTACTACACTCACTGGGGCAGTAAATTGCACTGCAGCTATTCATAAGGTGTGTAACACCCTTCCGGGTTTCACAGAAGTGTTCCCGACGTCGTGCACTATAACTGAGAGACGCCGGAGAAGATCTGCAGGTGTTCAGTTGGAATCACCAATCAGATTACGTCGGGTAAGAAAATATTTTATACAAGTATCTGGTTTATGTTTGATGGTGGCAAAATAATTAAAACGAATTCTTTGCTGTCATGTCTACTACTCATAGTTTGCTAATCTGTTGAAAATGGTTGACAAAATTGCGTGAAGACATGTTTAATGAACAAAAGTACGTTGTCATGTGCAACACAATGCCAACAAACAACATGTGACGAATAATCAGTCTCATGACCCATCAGTATCTGGTCAAAACTGAAAAAAATCAAGTAAATAAACTCTCAGAATCGCGTAAGCGACCCACGTGATGCGAACACAGCCTATTTGGATGGATGTGAAGACTGTTCCACTCTTTGGTAAGAGCATTGCCGAGTTGCCGAAAGGACAAGGCGTCGTGAGAGGGTCATCTGCAGCTCGTTCCACACGTGTTCGATTGGGCTGGACAACGGTCTCCTGCTCTGAGTAGGCATCCGCAGAGTCATGTCTGAGTGTAGTGGCAGTCGCGAAGTTATGACATCTTGCTGCAATTGTTGTGTTGTGGAATGCTGTCAACCACCTGCTTGTCAATGGATAGCTGATCCAAGCGTCTGATATCTATTCCGTGCCCTGCTGATCACACTTTGGCTGACACCAAAGACGTGATGTTGTGATGATTCAGTTTCAAGAATGCTTAGCATCAGCCTAACTCTTCGGTCGCCAGACAAAATCTTATTACCAAATCGTTAGTGCTCTCGTATAATAATGTGCAACGATTCTGACTCATCTTGCCCATGACTGCATGCCTCTGTCCGTCCATCATGAAATCGACCGATTCCGTGGTCTAGTGGACAGAGCGTTTGCCGGAGAACGGAATGTCTGGGGATCGATCCCCAGCCGCGTCATACCAAAAGACGTTAAAAGATGGTACTTGTTGTAAACTTTGCTTTAAATTTAAGCTCGGTATTAAGGAGCTAAAATAATAACTGGTCTCTGAGTCTGAGTAGGGTATTCATGTTAAACTGCGGCATGCTATCTCTCGTTCATTAAAACGTTTCTAAAATAAATATTTGTCTGAGATGATATCTATAAAGTGACATTGACTTTACATGGAGATAAAGAAAGATTAAAACATAACAAAAGGATATTCAAAACGATTTTTTGGGATTGTTGTACCAAATCTCTCTCGACCATATGTTTTGCACAGGAAGTTGGGAGGGTGTGGCCAAACAGCTGGACAGAGGTCAAGGCAAGGACTTTGTGTGAGAAGGTTTTTCAGGAATCGCGATCAGTACAAGTGTGCAAGAATGTGAAAGGCGTTGACATCAGCGGAAGCATTGAAAACTGTATCCTGGACATTCAGGTATTACACATACATATTGAAACAGACATGAAGGTATTTCAAACAGAAGTAGACATTCAGGTAATGCACATACAAATCAAAGAAGACATTGAGGAATTCTACATAAACATTGAAATGATTATTCGGGTATTGCACACTGGAGTGGACATTGAGGCTGGCACATAAATATTGCAGTAGAAAATCAGTTATTGCAAATACATATTGCAGTAGACAATCAGATATTGCACATACATATTGCAGTAGACAATCAGGTAATGCACATATATATTGCAGCAGACAATCAGGTATTGCACATACATAATTGCATTAGACAATCAGGTATTGCACATACATATTGCAGTAGAGAATCAGATATTGCACATACATACTGCAGTAGACAATCAGGTATTGCACATACATATTGCAGTAGACAATCAGATAGTGCACATACATATTGCATTAGACAATCAGATATTGCACATGTATATTGCAGTAGACAATCAGATATTGCACATGTATATTCCAGTAGACAATCAGATATTGCACATACATATTGCAGTAGACAATCAGATATTGCACATACATATTGCAATAGACAATCAGATATTGCACATACATATTGCAATAGACATTCAGATATTGCACATACATATTGCAGTAAACAAGCAGATATTGCACATACATATTGCATTAGACGATCAGGTATTGCACGTACATATTGAAACACACATTCAGGTATTGCACATTCATATATTGCAGTAGACTATTAGGTATTGCACATGTATATTGCAGTAGACATTCAGGTATTGCACATACATATTGGAGTAGACAATCAGGTATTGCACATACATATTGCAGTAGACATTCAGGTATTGCACATACATATTGCAGTAGACATTCAGGTATTGCACATACATATTGCATTAGACAATCAGGTATTGCACGTACATATTGAAACACACATTCAGGTATTGCACATTCATATATTGCAGTAGACTATTAGGTATTGCACATACATATTGCAGTAGACATTCAGGTATTGCACATACATATTGCAGTAGAGAATCAGGTATTACACATACATATTGGAGTAGACAATCAGGTATTGCACATAAATATTGCAGTAGACAATCAGGTATTACACATACATATAGGAGTAGACAATCAGATATTGCACATACATATTGCAGTAGACAATCAGGTATTGCACATGTATATTCCAGTAGACAATCAGATATTGCAAATACATATTGCAGTAGACAATCAGATATTGCACATACATATTGCAGTAGACAATCAGATATTGCACATACATATTGCAGTAGACAATCAGATATTGCACATACATATTGCATTAGACAATCAGTTTTTGCACATTGAAATGAATAAGTATTGCATCCGGTAGTCGACAATCAGGAATTGCATATTGATATGAACATTGCGGTAATGCACATACATATTGCAGTAGACAATGAGGTATTGCACATACATATTGCAGCAGACAATCAGATATTGCACATACATTTTGCAGTAGACAATCAGATATTGCACATACATATTGCAGTAGACAATCAGATATTGCACATACATATTGCATTAGACAATCAGGTATTGCACATTGAAATGAATAAGTATTGCATCCGGTAGTCGACAATCAGGAATTGCATATTGATACGAACATTGCGGTAATTCACATACATATTGCAGTAGACAATCAGGTATTGCACATACATATTGCAGCAGACAATCAGGCATTGCACATAAATTTATTGCAGTAGACAATCAGGTATTGCACATACCTTTTGCATTAGACATTCAGGTATTGCACATAGATATTGCAGTAGACATTCAGGTATTGCACATACATATTGCAGTAGACAGTCATGTATTGCACATACATATTGCAGTAGATAATCAGATATTGCACATGTATATTGCAGTAGACAATCAGATATTGCACATACATATTGCAGTAGAAAATCAGATATTGCAAATACATATGGCAGTAGACAATCAGATAGTGCACATACATATTGCAGTAGACAATCAGATATTGCACATGTATATTCCAGTAGACAATCATATATTGCACATGTATATTCCAGTAGACAATCAGATATTGCACATGTATATTCCAGTAGACAATCAGATATTGCAAATACATATTGCAGTAGACAATCAGATATTGCACATACATATTGCAGTAGACAATCAGATATTGCACATACATATTGCAGTAGAAAATCAGATATTGCAAATACACATTGCAGTAGACAATCAGATAGTGCACATACATATTGCAGTAGACAATCAGATATTGCACATGTATATTCCAGTAGACAATCAGATATTGCACATGTATATTCCAGTAGACAATCAGATATTGCACATACATATTCCAGTAGACATTCAGGTATTGCACATACATATTGCAGTAGACAATCAGGTATTGCACATACATATTGCAGTAGACAATCAGATATTGCACATGTATATTCCAGTAGACAATCAGATATTGCACATGTATATTCCAGTAGACAATCAGATATTGCACATACATATTCCAGTAGACATTCAGGTATTGCACATACATATTGCAGTAGACAATCAGGTATTGCACTTACATATTGCATTAGACAATCAGGTATTGCACATATATATTGCATTAGACAATCAGATGTTGCACATACCCATTGCAGTAGACAATCAGGTATTGCAAATACATATTGCAGTAGACAATCAGATATTGCACATACATATTGCAGTAGACATTCAGGTATTGCACATACATATTGCAGTAGACAGTCGTGTATTGCACATATATATTGCAGTAGATAATCAGATATTGCACATGTATATTGCAGTAGACAATCAGATATTGCACATACATATTGCAGTAGAGTATCAGATATTGCAAATACATATTGCAGTAGACAATCAGATATTGCACATACATATTGCAGTAGACAGTCAGATATTGCACATACATATTGCAGTAGACAATCAGATATTGCACATACATATTGCATTAGACAACCAGTTTTTGCACATTGAAATGAATAAGCATTGCATCCGGTAGTCGACAATCAGGAATTGCATATTGATATGAACATTGCGGTAATGCACATACATATTGCAGTAGACAATGAGGTATTGCACATACATATTGCAGCAGACAATCAGATATTGCACATACATTTTGCAGTAGACAATCAGATATTGCACATACATATTGCAGTAGACAATCAGATATTGCACATACATATTGCATTAGACAATCAGGTATTGCACATTGAAATGAATAAGTATTGCATCCGGTAGTCGACAATCAGGAATTGCATATTGATACGAACATTGCGGTAATTCACATACATATTGCAGAAGACAATCAGGCATTTCACATACATATATTGCAGTAGACAATCAGGTATTGCACATACATATTGCATTAGACATTCAGGTATTGCACATAGATATTGCAGTAGACATTCAGGTATTGCACATACATATTGCAGTAGACAATCAGGTATTACACATACATATTGGAGTAGACAATCAGGTATTGCACATACATATTGCAGTAGACAATCAGGTATTGCACATGTATATTCCAGTAGACAATCAGATATTGCAAATACATATTGCAGTAGACAATCAGATATTGCACATACATATTGCAGTAGACAATCAGGTATTGCACGTACATATTGAAACACACATTCAGGTATTGCACATTCATATATTGCAGTAGACTATTAGGTATTGCACATACATATTGCAGTAGACATTCAGGTATTGCACATACATATTGCAGTAGAGAATCAGGTATTACACATACATATTGGAGTAGACAATCAGGTATTGCACATAAATATTGCAGTAGACAATCAGGTATTACACATACATATAGGAGTAGACAATCAGATATTGCACATACATATTGCAGTAGACAATCAGATATTGCACATACATATTGCAGTAGACAATCAGTTTTTGCACATTGAAATGAATAAGTATTGCATCCGGTAGTCGACAATCAGGAATTGCATATTGATATGAACATTGCGGTAATGCACATACATATTGCAGTAGACAATGAGGTATTGCACATACATATTGCAGCAGACAATCAGATATTGCACATACATTTTGCAGTAGACAATCAGATATTGCACATACATATTGCAGTAGACAATCAGATATTGCACATACATATTGCATTAGACAATCAGGTATTGCACATTGAAATGAATAAGTATTGCATCCGGTAGTCGACAATCAGGAATTGCATATTGATACGAACATTGCGGTAATTCACATACATATTGCAGTAGACAATCAGGTATTGCACATACATATTGCAGCAGACAATCAGGCATTGCACATAAATTTATTGCAGTAGACAATCAGGTATTGCACATACCTTTTGCATTAGACATTCAGGTATTGCACATAGATATTGCAGTAGACATTCAGGTATTGCACATACATATTGCAGTAGACAGTCATGTATTGCACATACATATTGCAGTAGATAATCAGATATTGCACATGTATATTGCAGTAGACAATCAGATATTGCACATACATATTGCAGTAGAAAATCAGATATTGCAAATACATATGGCAGTAGACAATCAGATAGTGCACATACATATTGCAGTAGACAATCAGATATTGCACATGTATATTCCAGTAGACAATCATATATTGCACATGTATATTCCAGTAGACAATCAGATATTGCACATGTATATTCCAGTAGACAATCAGATATTGCAAATACATATTGCAGTAGACAATCAGATATTGCACATACATATTGCAGTAGACAATCAGATATTGCACATACATATTGCAGTAGAAAATCAGATATTGCAAATACACATTGCAGTAGACAATCAGATAGTGCACATACATATTGCAGTAGACAATCAGATATTGCACATGTATATTCCAGTAGACAATCAGATATTGCACATGTATATTCCAGTAGACAATCAGATATTGCACATACATATTCCAGTAGACATTCAGGTATTGCACATACATATTGCAGTAGACAATCAGGTATTGCACATACATATTGCAGTAGACAATCAGATATTGCACATGTATATTCCAGTAGACAATCAGATATTGCACATGTATATTCCAGTAGACAATCAGATATTGCACATACATATTCCAGTAGACATTCAGGTATTGCACATACATATTGCAGTAGACAATCAGGTATTGCACTTACATATTGCATTAGACAATCAGGTATTGCACATATATATTGCATTAGACAATCAGATGTTGCACATACCCATTGCAGTAGACAATCAGGTATTGCAAATACATATTGCAGTAGACAATCAGATATTGCACATACATATTGCAGTAGACATTCAGGTATTGCACATACATATTGCAGTAGACAGTCGTGTATTGCACATATATATTGCAGTAGATAATCAGATATTGCACATGTATATTGCAGTAGACAATCAGATATTGCACATACATATTGCAGTAGAGTATCAGATATTGCAAATACATATTGCAGTAGACAATCAGATATTGCACATACATATTGCAGTAGACAGTCAGATATTGCACATACATATTGCAGTAGACAATCAGATATTGCACATACATATTGCATTAGACAACCAGTTTTTGCACATTGAAATGAATAAGCATTGCATCCGGTAGTCGACAATCAGGAATTGCATATTGATATGAACATTGCGGTAATGCACATACATATTGCAGTAGACAATGAGGTATTGCACATACATATTGCAGCAGACAATCAGATATTGCACATACATTTTGCAGTAGACAATCAGATATTGCACATACATATTGCAGTAGACAATCAGATATTGCACATACATATTGCATTAGACAATCAGGTATTGCACATTGAAATGAATAAGTATTGCATCCGGTAGTCGACAATCAGGAATTGCATATTGATACGAACATTGCGGTAATTCACATACATATTGCAGTAGACAATCAGGCATTTCACATACATATATTGCAGTAGACAATCAGGTATTGCACATACATATTGCATTAGACATTCAGGTATTGCACATAGATATTGCAGTAGACATTCAGGTATTGCACATACATATTGCAGTAGACAATCAGGTATTACACATACATATTGGAGTAGACAATCAGGTATTGCACATACATATTGCAGTAGACAATCAGGTATTGCACATGTATATTCCAGTAGACAATCAGATATTGCAAATACATATTGCAGTAGACAATCAGATATTGCACATACATATTGCAGTAGACAATCAGATATTGCACATACATATTGCAGTAGAAAATCAGATATTGCAAATACATATTGCAGTAGACAATCAGATATTGCACATACATATTGCAGTAGACAATCAGATATTGCACATGTATATTCCAGTAGACAATCAGATATTGCACATGTATATTCCAGTAGACAATCAGATATTGCACATACATATTGCAGTAGACATTCAAGTATTGCACATACATATTGCAGTAGACAAGCAGGTATTGCACATACATATTGCAGTAGACAATCAGGTATTGCACATATATATTGCATTAGACAATCAGGTATTGCACATACCCATTGCAGTAGACATTCAGGTATTGCACATACATATTGCATTAGACAATCAGGTATTGCACATTGAAATGAATAAGTATTGCATCCGGTAGTCGACAATCAGGAATTGCATATTGATATGAACATTGCGGTAATGCACATACATATTGCAGTAAACATTTAGGTATTGCATCCAGAAGCAGACATAACGGAATTGCACATGACAGTGGACATTCAGGTATTACATATATGGCAGTAGAAATTCATGTATTGCGCATGGAAGTGGACATTAGGATATTACACATAGGAGAAGACATAAAGATAATGCACACTGAAGTTGAATTTACAGTACTGCATATAGATGCAGACATGGAGGTATGACACATAGAAGCAAACAGTCATGTATTGCATATAGTAGGCAATAATGTTTTGCACACAGAAGTAGACATTAAGGTATTGCACATAGAAGTAGGCACTAATCTATTGCACATAGAAGTAGACATTAAGGTATTGCACATAGAAGTAGGCACTAATCTATTGCACATAGAAGTAGACATTCAGGTATTGCACATAGAAGTAGGCAATAAAGTATTGCACGTACATGTAGAAGTAGACATTAAGGTAATGCACATAGAAGAAGGCAATAATGTCTTGCACATAGAAGTAGACATTGATGTATTGCACATAGAAGTTGGCAATACTGTATTGCACATAGAAGTAGATATTCAGGTATTGCACATAGAAGTAGACATTGATGTATTGCACATAGAAGTTGGCAATAATGTATTCCACATAGAAGTAGACATTCAGGTATTGCACATAGACGTTGGCAATAATGTATTGCACATAGAAGTAGACATTTAGGTATTGCACATAGAAGTAGGCAATAAAGTCTTGCACATAGAAGTAGGCAATAATGTATTGTACACAGAAGTAGACATTCGGGTATTGCACATAGAAGTAGGCAATAATGTATTGCACATAGAAGTAGACATTCAGGTATTGCACATAGAAGTAGGCAATAATGTATTGCACATAGAAGTAGACATTTAGGTATTGCACATAAAAGTAGGCAAAAAGGTATAAGACTAAGAAGTAGAGATGCATGTATTGCACACAGAAGTAGACACATGTATTGCATATCGAAGTGTGTACACTGATGTATTGGTTTAATGTTTAACGATTCAAAGAACGAGAGGTTCTACTGTCAAAATCCAGGCAACATATTATTTTGTGTGGATAAACTTTTGCTTTAATATATAACGTCAGGAAATGTTTGTCCATTATGTATCATGTGAGAACAGATTAAGATGTTGAGTTCTTTCAAAGTTGACAGGCACCACAGACTTTTTTCGATTCTCTGTCGACACGGTGAGAGACAAATGTCTACACGAGGTGTTGGTTGACCCTGCACTCTGGGTGAAAAGTGGGGAGAATAACACGTCAGCCTATGACATCGTTGTCGCCGAGGCTTGTCTGAACGACTGCAGCGGAAAAGGAACATGTACAAGTGGTAGGACTTCTAGAATTGTAAATAAAATATACTCTCAAAGAAAGTAGGGGATACTTGGATAGTTAGTTTCTAGTAATAGTTGAATGATACTTGTGACACATTTCAACCGGAAGTGAAGTATGTGGATGTTATTACCGCCAACAAGCTTGAAGGAAGACAGTGGTAAGATGGGAAATTTCAAAGTTGACGTTTTCGGATCAGTTGTGCGTAAAGTCGCCATTATTTGTCAAACATTCTTTCACTCGACGAGGGAGTTTGTGATTTGAGGGAGTCTGTTGTTCCACTCCTGTTGCTGCTCCTGGCCAGCTCGATTTCATAGAACCTGTTTCGGATCAATCGATCCTGTACTCTTTTTGTTGACCTGGGACACAGTGAATAGGGTCGAACGTCAACAAATTCTCCGATGGTCAAACACAGACGTGTGTACATTAACCTTAAACTCGTAATTCAGAATTACGGATTATCAGTCCCTCGTGAATTAATCCTGGTCCCTCGCCAAAGCTGCATTCACTAGAAATGATTTTAGTTACCTCCCCTTCAATTTTAACAGGTGCTTGTATATGCCAACCCAACTATGGCGGCTCTGACTGTTCTGTTGACCTCACAACACCCCCACGATTGGCTGATTCGGATACCGTTGAAACATGCGATATGTCACGTGATGCATGTGGCGTTGTTCCCGTGAAAGGCGAGACGTTTATCGAAGGTGTTTCAAGATGTTTGGTTGAAGAGATTAGGGTAAATATAGTATATACTATTAACGTGATTTTATCATCTTGAAGCTACTCCAGGCGTTAACAATACACCACTATCGGGCCAAAATATGTTTTTTTTACTTTAATTAATGCTTCGTGAGTGGTAATAAGCAACAAACATAATTCGCAACTAGAAGTGGTTAATGTGCTGGTGAAGTATGGTTTATTCATTAGCTATATTAGTCTTAATTGATACTAAATGAAACGTACACTTTATATAATTTTTAATGTCGGCTTTCAGGTCAGAAAATCTGGACAAGACATCGTTGGATCAAACGTACACATGGCAACCGTGGTCGACATCGGCCATGCGCAGTGCAAAATCGCTACCTATGACAACACCGAACTTGAGGACGTCGAGTGCCTGCGTACCTACCGGATATCCGTTTCCAACAATGCCTGTAGCTATGGTAGCAGCGTGGGCCTGATTGTGTTTAACAGTACATGTATGCTAACTAATGGTGGCCGGGAAACAAAGTTAAACAGGAGAGTGAAGGTATATTAATATGAATTTAAATTTACAATTAAGAGCTTGCTATTCCACATCAGGGTCCATACTGCCTCGACAGAAAGACGTTTTTTCCTCATGGGGCAATTCAATCTGGAAACAAATAGCTGCATGGATTGTTTGTGTGGGAAATTTTAATAAAAAACTCACTTAAGAGTTCGCCTACAATTGAACTTTTCTTAAACTGCAGTCGACATATTTCTGAAGTAGAATATTGGAAAGTTGTCCCTTTTGTCATAAGGTCTTGAGGATATTTTCTTGTCACTCTTATGGCGTAACGGATTCTATGAGGTTTTCATGATGTTTGCTGCTCCAGATCTCAGGATATTGTCATACAAGGCGACTAGATGCATGGGTTAGTCGGGCACAGTGACGGCGGCGTGGTCGATTACTTAAAGTATCAATGTCCAGTACATACACCGCCGTCATATAGCTTGAATATTGATGAGTGTGGCGTAAAAAAACAAAGTATACCATGCTGGTTATTCACAGTGACAATGGGAATTGCGCGGAGTTCAAGATAAGGTTATTCGCAATGTCTGATTTAGTTATATCTGAAGTTGGGAGTACTTGAGACTCAGGAAGCTTGTTATTCCACACCAGGATCCATACTGTCTGGACAGCAGAGGGTCGTGTGTTCCTCATGGGTCGATTCATTCTGGAAACAACTGTCTGGTGTGTGAGGTGTCCGCCAACAAGGGCACATGGAAAACTAGAAAAGGTAAAGTACTATTTGCATTCAGTACATAAGATGTAATCTGGAGGCCCTTTCATATGAGGTCGAGATCCTCATCCCTATGCTAATCCATACAATATAGGCGACATAGTCCCTTCCCTAATCATCAACACGAAGGAAAAAAGAAAGCTGTATATAATTATACGTATTTTTACGATTCCGACTAGATCATAAGTATGCCTGCATGAATCACTATCAAATAGTGATAAAAAACCAGGTGCTCGTGAATACGTGGCACCCGTCGCAAACACATGCAGAGGCAAATCACATGTTCACCTGTACAAATACGCAAACATATGGTACAAGTTAAAAAAGGGAACTGCATCAAGAACTAATTTGTCACACGAATGAGCGTTCAATTTGGAAATGTCTACCATAAAACCTTTTGAAAGCTTTGTTTCCCTGATAAAAAAAACACACTTTTCGGGCAAGGGTCGTACATGTTTGACGCGCTTTAAAATTTACTTCGAAAAAGCATGCTCGATTGTGCCTCAGAGGTTGTGAAATGTTTGTTATTGATTATGGTTTGTTGTCCTATGTTTTTGTGTCTATATCAGATGTTTCAACTACATTGGTATAATTATTTAAAATCAACCCGTGGGTTTCCGGGGAAGAACAAAGTCCCCATGGGCATATGTTGTCGTAAAAGGCCTGATTGTGTACAATTTGTGAACTTGCCATTGTGTGACTGCCATTGTACTCCAATGCCCTATTTTGCTCAAACCTTCAACTACTTGTTTGTCTGGTCAAGATTTGATGAGGCTGAAATACAACAGTCATTCACTCTTTCGCCTCACTAAACAAGTGTAATTATGTAATAATTTATGTTTCAGATAGGAGATGCCTGTTATCCCATGAACCACGCATGGATTTTACCAATCCGGATTAATTGCGATCGCTTACCAAACAGTTACAATCAAGTGATGGTAAGCTGTACTCTTGACACTCAAGACACTGATTCTTATTATTTACAAAATCGAAAACTTTGGTTGATAAATAGAAACTCGCCATCGTGCCTTTTGACCTCTGAGGTTTCAACTTTAATCGATAAATAAAATATGTCATCCGTCAAAAAGTGTAACATTTGCGAAATCCCCGCAGAAATCCTCAGGCCCATGAATCTGTTACACTTGTACAAATTATAAAAAAACAACTTTGGGTGATAAATAGAATCTCACGCTTGTGTCTTATGACATGGCAAGCCTCAGAGGTCTCGACGGGTGTCTATATATAAGATATCAAAAGTCCCGTGAGGTCCTCTGATCAACTGTAACTTTAAGTGTGCATAAATGATATCTCCGTCCATCTGTTAAACCGTTTTACAGTCTACCATGATATTGATGAGTGCTTGATTCTGATTGGTTAAAAAGAGGTTTCCTTTTTGCTACGGAAACCCCTTTCAAATATATAAAGCCTTTTCACAAAATACGTGCGCATGAATACATAGAAAGCCTACATATCGATTCATAAAAAAATGGCTGCCCATCGATCACCCCCATATAAACTGTAAAACGAATCTTTATTTCCTCTAATAGACGCTGGATCTCTAATACCAGCCAGGTCTCTAATACAAGCCTAGTCAAGGGCTCTCGCGAAATTAATAGACGGCGTAGCATCAAATAGAGGAAATACGGTAGTTTGATATCGGATGTTTGGGGCGTTCTAGGCCGCAAACCTGACTGCTTCGATGATGACATTAAAAGATTTAACGAAGGCATATCTTTTGCATACAAATGAAATGTTTATGAAACTGTCAGAAAAATGTTCTATGGTGACCAGAATCTGAACAATGTAAGCTATTTCCTCATTGAAACAACCGACAATGAAAGTAAAATATAACATTATAAAAATTGTTTGAAAAAACTTTATTCATGACAACATGTTGTTGACAAACCTTTTTGTGATCGATATTCGTTGCCATCTCCGTCAACCACCACCGTTAGAATTTGGGAGGAGGGGATTTGAAAGTCCATCAGAAAACACTCCCCTTCGAAAGTCCACGAAAACAATGTCCAACTGAATTGTCATCTTTTCAAACTTGATGAAATTCATTTCAGAACACGCATAATTAAGAAAATCATACACGACCAACTATTTCTGGGCCACAAATGTCTAGGTTCTGTTACTATCATGCTTTGAATCCGTGAAATCTTGAAATAGATCTAGATAGGTCACACCATGCAGATTCCTCGTTTCAAAATACCCGACTCGTCTGCAGCCTAAAAAGCGGTCATACTCAGTTATATTGGTAATCATATGGGTGTGCCAGCAGGCTCGATCAATCCCAGATAATCTCCAGGTTATGTCGAATCACATCATAGATCGGGGTTGTCATCTTGCTTCATTCTATAACTTGTTATGGAGAATGTAAACACAAGATTGTCAGCCATTGACAGCTTCGAGGTGCGAGTAACCGTGATGTAGGTCAAGTTCTGCCACAAGTCCGGGGTGGAGAGGCATTTAATTTGATTTTTTTATTGTTTACTGGGGGTAACTGCTACTAACATTCACATGTTAAATGTATCATAGAACGTTAATTCATAAAGTTTGATGTAGAAATATATTCGTTTAGCATGTTAAAACCTTTTTCTATAACCTGTCACCCCTACAATAGATATGATGGCATGTTCAATTTCCAAGAAATAACCTCTCACCCAAAATTCCGAGAAATGAGAGTCAGTCCACGGTGTACAACAGTGTACAACAATTTAGTAGAAATTACAACATCTGTCTTTGGACTAAGTTTGTCAACTTATTTTGAAAACCTATGTGTTTTGAACACTAATTATGAACTATTCACGACTACTTATCTCCTAATTGGCGACATCGCTGCAGAAACCCTCGGGCCTATGAATCGGAAAGAAATATATTCGTTTAGCATGTTAAAACCTTTTTCTATAACCTGTCACCCCTACAATAGATATGATGGCATGTTCAATTTCCAAGAAATAACCTCTCACCCAAAATTCCGAGAAATGAGAGTCAGTCCACGGTGTACAACAGTGTACAACAATTTAGTAGAAATTACAACATCTGTCTTTGGACTAAGTTTGTCAACTTATTTTGAAAACCTATGTGTTTTGAACACTAATTATGAACTATTCACGACTACTTATCTCCTAATTGGCGACATCGCTGCAGAAACCCTCGGGCCTATGAATCGGAAACAACTTTACGACATGACATATGACGCCTTTGAATTTTGACCTACAAAACCTGTAATTCTTCACATTCTTGTTTGCTCTTTAATAATAACATCATATATATTCAAAACAGAAAGCAGGTGCGCTGCACCGCCAAGTAGCTATGTTATAAAAATAAGATTATATTCATATTGACAGCAGAAATAATATCACACATATTTGTATTTTTCATGTCATTTCTTTCTGTTACAGAGGGGAACGATGATACGAGGGATTTATGAACACATAGACACTGCTGTGTTGCTTTCTGTCCCTGCACTTTCTGTCGAATGATTTCGTAATGTACATACATACGATATATAAAACATATTTAAAAGATACACTGGACATTGTTAGTTTAGCAAAGGTTTCTTATGGTAATACAAATAGATTTTATTTACAAATCTCTGAAATGTGACTAATATAGATAATTTGATAAATAAAGGCATTAGAAAACCAATTCAATAATCATCAAAAATTTCAACTAAAACAGTCCTCTATACGGTTAAACATCAATATTTGATCGTGATTTGTAAACACATGTTTATGAAAATGACTATTTTTTAGATATAGTTTGTCGCTTGTACTTTTTTTCACACTTATGTCCACCAAGGAAGTCTTATTTTCTTAAATGTAATGTAAATGATCGATGTTGTACATTTGCTGTCTTTTTGTATTTCTGACAATGTAGTGTCATGTATACTTTAATTGAATCATGACTGTAGAAGTCACAGTTCTGCATTTTCTAAACTAATATTATGCGTAACATTCTTCTAAAATCCTAGCCACAATGACAGAAAATAGTACACACGAGCTTGTAATGAGAACTTCAGTTGTGAATGTGCAGTTGCCAAGTTGACTGTTTTAATGAAATGTCGTCATTGTGCATGGAAACCGAGTAGAATCTTTCAAATTCCTGGCGGAATGATATATATTCAGTGTATATCTTAATGACCTTCTTATTTCTGCTTTCTCATATATACATGCTTAAACAATATATTCAGTGTATATCATAAAAGCTTTTTTACTCTTTTTTCATATTCATGGTAGAAAGATGTATGCTCACACAATTGGCTATTGTCTTTCTTACCCGTAATCAAATTTACTGCAAACGTCACAGGTGAACCCATCCAAAACCACCTTCGAAATGTCTCGCGGCTGTAACTCAAATCGAATGTATTCCTACGCAACAGTAATCAAACGACCTTAAATAAAAAAAAGATACCTCGCTATAACAATTCCAATTGAATACCTTTTATCATTAACACTTATACAAAAACAACACTCAAAGCGTAAGAACTGTGTTGTTGTTTTTAATTAATACATTAACTTCAACATATGCAAGTTAACAAATTAATAAGTCAACATCGGTGAAAATGTCAGTTGAAGGGGGTCACACGTGTTGTTGTAACGTCACAGCAGCTCAGTAACCAATTGTAAATGTTTCGAATGTGAACCTATTGATTACAACCAAGTGATGCCAGACAAGTATACCGCCACTGGATGATTATTTATCAAGTTGCAGTCATTTGTTCGGAATCAGATTCAAGAATTATGCGACGTTACATTCCATATCTGCAAGTGGGTGGTTGACTGAAAACAATGAACGAATATAAAGTGTAGTACCGGCGACGAATGAAAAGCCGAGTTACATATATGGAAAATACTGTAATTACATAACATTTAATACCCTATCTCCAGCTTTCCTTATGGGTAAGAAATCATAAAAGCATATTTACATCTGTATTTTAATTTTTGTATTCTGTGTCTTATATAGTTGATGATCTTACTAAAATAAACCTGTTGTGCACTGAGCTAGACTTTGTGTTTTGAATTCGGACTGTTACTTCAGAATTCAGCTGATTTACAATGACCGGTCAAACTTTCAAAACCTATTCAATTTACAATGTTGCTGAATGTTGAACTATTATTTAAATTTAGTTGTTCGTCTCATGTTTGCCAAATAGTCCTCATATTTATGCAGCAGTATTTGTGTTACGTGTTTGTGTTTGCAGACTGCAGATATACATACCCAGTGCTCCTGTCGTACATGGATGAACCATATTTGACTGACACTTTATGTGACGGAAAATGTACATGTATAGTTGAACACTTGTTGCCAACGAAAGGTTGGAGATGTCGATGCTCTCGCCCGGCAGTGAGGTCACGAATTGTTTTAATTGAGCCATTTTCTAAACATACCCAACTGAATCAGGATGTAGGCCATGACACGAAGGATGACCTTTCTGGTACAACGTTTTCATACTTTGTTTATGGGACGGTCCCAACGTACGTCAATGTTCCCTATTCAGAACAAATACAACATCGCTGTTAGTTGTATGCGCGTCATGAAAGTCTACCCCCTTTCTCTTGTAATGGAGGTGAGATAAACGTGCGCCAATTTGCTCTGTGTTCTGTGTTTTAACTCCATGGTCTCTACTAGCGTGGTGGCAGAGACAAAGAACGCAAATATACTCGGTAGTTCTAAATCAAATTGTGACCAGGCTTTCACATATGAATGATCAATCACCTGAGGACAAATTTATCAGTCGAGTAACGGGATCACAATCTTGCCGATGCAAGGGAGTTAACTGACTGTAAAAGTCATGTCCTCAAACAACATCTTTTCATTCTTTTAATCAATGTACTCAAGTTTATTGCTACAATCTATATGCACTTGGTGTACATTGTGTGTGAGGCAGTCAGTGTGAAACTATTCTTCGATTAACTTGATCAGATCGTCTTGACTAGGCGCCACTATGCAAATGTAAGTGATACAAGAGTTGGAATCTGATAGGAGGGAGCTCGAGGAAGTAGGGACATAGCTCGTAATATGCCGCAACACTAGTGTTTGATGCTGCCGTAACATGCCGCAATGGCTACCACTCACAGAGCCCAAAGCAGTGGCATCCCACTCGACATGGGACACTTCTAAGATTTGTGTACTTTCCACTGGGCGTGGTGATTCTCTAGTTGATAAGGGTTACAACTTTCAAGGGCTCAGTGAAGCTTTCAAAACATTTGATAAAAATATGTGGAGGACATTTCCAAATTTGACGCATCAGTCACACAAATTATGTACAAAAATTACCTATTTTGACGTACTCCAGATGTTTCTGCATTTTTTTCGTATGAATAATTGACTTGTCTTTTCGTTGTTTGTGACTGTTGGGGCAGGATACGTATATCTGAGAACACCTGACATCATCCCAATTTCATAGCGATTCCTAAACGCATGCTTATCGCACAATGGGCTCATTGAAAGGGTTTGTAGCTTTTATTTACGTTGCAGGCAATCTCTTGCTGCAATTCTAATTCTTCAAAGGAAAACTCGTTTGTCAGACGAGAAAACTCTTTATATATATATCTGCCGCAGCACATGTTATGTTATAGAACATTATGTAGCTGAAACATTACAACTTTACAGTTATCCTTCTTTAAGTTTCAGTTAAAGGATGCATAGCTGGTTATTGCACACGCTGTAACCTCGCGGAACAGTCCAAATAATTCCCATACACCCAAAATTCCCGTATACACCACTATAACAACAGTTACGCCATTATCACCTACTATACAATGATTATATGTGCTTTGTTATTAGAAACTGTGGACAGGGTGATTCCCCTTAACTTCCTAGACTGAAATAACAATTTACATTTACCGTGACTGCAAACATTGTGCTTCAAACAATTTCGTTCAAAGTACGAAGCTTTGAATAAATCTGGATGTTCACTGAATCTCACACCAACAATACATGTATACAGGATGCCCCATGAATACACTGCGTTGCTAAATTCAACTTTTTTATCATACGATTGGACAAAACCGTGTTCTGTAAGACGTTACTATTTTGTATTCGATAAACTATATATGTCATGCTGTAACACGAAAATCGTCCAGCGCACAATTCATCCTCCACTTATGATAATGCAAACATTTGTTTAGATACAAACAATTCGTTCTTTTAGAGTGAGGTTTGATTCACCTACAGCAAACTGCCATTTTATCGACCAACATGTCATCGGCGTTGTTCATTACTGTCCAAAATACAGAATACGACTGACTGTTTGAAACAAAACAAAATCAAAATGTGTCCTATTTGTACATGTGCCACAGTGTGATACACCTTTTTCTTAAAACATTCCTTACATTTCATTTAATCTATTTTATGCTGAAACTTTAGTTCGTGTCAACTATAATGTGTTATAATTTCATACTTCAAAGTTTCCACTGTTTCTTTCATGCTGATTGGCTGAAGGGGTAGTCACGTGATCTGATATTTGGAGTTCACACATCTGTGAACGGACAGGAAAAGTTCACATGATGTAAACAATATTTTTATGAAATTGATCGTGGGAACTTTTGCCGGAACTACTTTCCGGGGTTTTCCCGAATTCTCAATCGATGTTTCTTGCCTTTCGTCTGAGGCATTCCCTGAGACGTTGAAACACAGGCCCCAGGCTTTCAAGATGTTCTTCACAGGTGCATTACATAAGCCGAACGGCATCCGATTAAACTCATAAAAACCAAGTGGCCCAAAGGTGAATGTTGTGCGCTGTTTGTGTTCTTCTTGGAGTTCAACTTGATGGTAACTGGACTTCATATCAAGGACAGAAATATATGCCGCCGAGACAATCCAACATCTCTTCAACTCGAGGAAGCGCATACGAGTCCTTCAACGAACGGTTATTCAGCTGGCGATAGTCCATGCACAAGGACAACGTTGGATGACCATGGGCAATGTGACTCCCTTATCACTCCAGCTGACAACAGTTGTTGAAGGTGGCTATGAACTTCTTCATACATGGCAGGTGGTATTCGTCTATGGCGTTATTTAAATGGAATGTCGTTGGTTAAGTCGATGCGCTGTCTTGCAGCGGAAGTCCCAAGTCATCATCTCCTTTGGAAAATATGTCCTTGAACTTGAGAATGACTCCAAGTCCTAAGTCCAGTTCCTCTTGAGATATGCTCTTCCGCTCTACATCAACTTGTTCAAGCAAGCGCTTCTCATCTTCTGACTCCAATGGCATCAGTCCTTTAAATGTGATGGGTTGAAGCTCGCATAGCAGTGCTCCTAACCGTACAACAACTGTCTGGGTAGTGACGTTGGCTATATGCACATAAATGTCACCAGGGTGCTCACAGTTGTAGTCTACAATGGAGGGAGGAATGTCAAGGTCACTTGGAATCGCAGCGTTCTCAGTCGGCTTGATCAGTGCGCATACTTTAGGAAAGTTGACATTCTTCACTACATGGCCTCTGATGACGACTTGACTGTTGGCAGAAATAATTTCCTTTCCAACTTCTGCACTCTTGACTGGTTTCCATCCATTCCTGATAAGTTACTTCTTCCTCAACACCATACTGCCGAACGTCAAGTAGCAGGGCGTATACAATGCAAACTTCTATAGAAACTTGACACCATGTGTGTTCTTGAATCCTTCCAGTAGGTGACATAAGATATCGGTCCCAAGTAACGCTGGCACTTGATAATTATACTGGGTGTCAGTCGATACCAGAAACAAACAAGAAACCAGTTTGGCTGGTGCTATGCCCGATGTTTCCAACTTGACATCCACATATCCTGTATAAGGTAGCGACTCTCCTCCAGCATATTCGATATCCAAAATGTTATCAGGTCGCTCCAAAGGTACATGCTTTAAGTAGGAATCATAGAAGGTCTGCGATAATATAGACACTGTAGCTCCTGTGTCTAGAAGTGCTCTTGCCTTTACCCCTTCCATATTTATGTCCACTTCGTTAACGTTACCAACAAGTTCATCCGGGATTCCTCTTTTCCTATATCTGGGGCGCTTGTACAAACCTCCAGGCGGCCCCTGCCCATAGGCCTGAGCGACGTTAAACCTCTTCCATGTCTAGAATGGTCCAGTCTAACTGTGCAAGTGTGATGAGTATGTTCGACCAGTCCACATCTCCAACAGGTTGGCCCCATTCCCCTCTGTGGTCTGTACTCTTGTCTTGAGCGTGTCCATATGAGGCTTGGTGACCAGCTGATCCTTCATTCTATGGTGGCCTGTAGGAATCGCAGCTAGCGTGGCCTTGATCCTCACTTGATGCTGTCTGTTTCAGCTAGGGCGTCCACTTGATGGCCTTGACCTCTGATCCGTGGCAGGATAGGGAATATCTTGCTCTGGTGCACTTGCTATCTCATCTCAGCAACTCCAGGAGTTCCACACAGACTCCTGTGCATTGGCACTCTTTGCTGTTCCTTCTGACTTTGTCTTAGCAGATGGGACTGGGCTCAACTGGTCGATTCCTATCTCCCGGAGAGCATATAACAGGTCATCAAAGTTATTGATGGTATCAAACTTGGGTCCTGAGATGTTCCTGAGGTCTGACTTGAGTCCTGTCCAAAGCATACTCCTAAGCATCTCATCAGAATCCTCATTGCTGGTCGGCTTATCCTTCAGGGCATGGGAAAGAAGTTCCTCTAAACGACAAGCCCACTGTAACACATCCTCCTCTGAGTGCTATTAACCTGTGCCATCCTTGACTCCCTCCTCTCAACAACTCCAAAAACAATACTGAGATTCCTTAGCAGGGATGAAATACTGGTCCCAGGCCTCATGAAGCCTCTCCCTTCAAGAATCCTTGAGTGCCTGTTCCTTAATAATATCCTGTGTATAAGATGAAGATTCCAAAAGCCCATCAACACGATACCTCCAGACATCATAAAGTGTGTCCTTCCCAGTCCTGTCTCCAC